TTTTTATGTAATCAGTTATATATGTATTCAACAACTGTATTTTAAAGCATGTCAATATCAGCATGCCAATAATAAAAATAACATTTTTGTATCTCTGATTCTAATTTAAAAAGTAATACCTCATTAAAAATTAATAGTCATTAGAAGGCTAAATTAACATTGTCTTCTTAACTGTCACAGCATATAATGGCTCTCAAAATACACATAAAAACAAACATGACATACAGTCTTTTACTGCAAAAAGTTAGGCCATTCAAACACTTAAAAAATGCGGAAATAGAAATAAAAGGGTTAAAAAAACTATAATTTTGGTAATTATATGTAAAATCTAGTCAACTAACAAATTATATGGTCCAACATAAAAACTCAAGAAGCAAAAAACTGCTTTCTATGATGTGACAAATCTCCAGCAACACTATTTCAGTACTATGTAGGAGAGGAGGGGGGGAAAAATAAAAAGAGGGAAGGATATCCTAAAGCAAGCTTCCCACTTAATTTCTAGTCCTTCCACCAATCATAAATGCTACCAGAGCTATTACCAATGGTAGTTTCTTTTCTTAACCTGAATCTTAAAGCAATCATATGCCATCACCAAAAAAAAAAGGAAAAAAAACAAAACCAAAATCTCACTAACAACAAATATCTGGCTAAGGTTTTCCAGACATCACTGAAACTCAAGAAACTGCTCCACTGTGCTATGAACTCTACAGCTTCAAGCTGGAAGTCAATCTAGGACAACCAATAGAAAGTGCACCTGTACAATTACTGCATTTCCTAATTCAGAAGGCCAAACTAGAAACAGATAAAGCTTGTGTGTACTCAGCTCACCAAAACAGAAATCCAAGAGCCCATACTTATTTTGTACATACTGCACATCTATATTATCATTAACTGCAATGAAAAAAATATTGTATTTATAATTCAGAAACAGAAATTACATTCCTTAACCAATACACATTTAACTTAATTCTAAATAAAATATAAGTATCCATATATATACACATCTAAAGCAACTATATACACAATCATTCAAAAATCTTTTCTACAAAAAAATTATCATCCAAACTAAATAAAAATTATTTTTTAAAGTAATCTAGTAAATGAATAGTACCATATATAGTAATTTAAAACATTCAATATGAGCTCCATGCAATAATGAAAAATAACCTGTATTACAAAAAAATAATCTGCATCATTTCCAAGGAATGCAACCTTATTTTTAAAACCTGCAGAAATTTACTATTTTACAAGTAATAAAAAAGATTATTTAGCTCCTTGTACTCTAAAATAAAAGAGAATATATGCTGCTAGTAATTGAGACTATAATTTGTGCAAGTCTACCTTCCTACAGATGCATTTTATTCAACATCTGACCCCACTAAGCAGTAAACAAATTTACATATATCAACACATTTCAGTGCTCCAAATACTATCCTAAGTTTCTGTAACTACAATAATGTGATCTCTTAGTAACAGTCCTTCAGTACCGTCACTCTAAAACAATCAAAAAAATGGCCTCTGACATATATTGTTTGTGTACTTGGTATTCCTTCAAAGTTTAAGGCTTGCAGATGTAAAATTTAAAAAAAAAAACTACAAAACAGAATCACCTTTAACTGATCACTGCACCAGATGAGAAAGGAATTACAAGGTTTTTTTCTGCTTTATTTTATAGCATTTTAAAAGAGTAGGGATATTTTTATTATTGCACACACTGAAAACTAAATATAACCCCGCACTCAAAAATACTACTGCAACAGCTTGATAGCACTCACCGCAAGTAATACTGTTTTAAAGCGAAGGCAGCATTAGAACAACTTCTGGGAAAGTTAAACTCTTCTACAATTTCTCCCCACTGATTCTTCTCTGATACCTGTCAAAAACAACACACAAGCCGAGATACACAACGTACACGTAAACATGTTGCTGACAGCGAACATCACAAAAAAAAAAACAGGCTGCCATGAAGCAAATAGATAAATATATAAAAAGAAACAAACATGAATGTGTATGGAATTTAGGACTATATATTTTACTGACAGTGGATAGTATTCCCCTTTCGGGAATAATCCCGCTTCTCAGGGGTCTTTTACTGCATTTATTTTTTAACATATACATTCTTTTTTTCGGGGGAACGACCGGGAGTGGTGGTATTGTTTTGGGGTTTGTTTGTTTTTGTTTTTACTGCCTGGACAATAACCAATCGGGAGTCCCTCTGTCGCCCCCTTTTAAATCCTAACGCGGTCCGTTAAAAACCCAAAGAAGTTTAAAATAATGCAGGGAAGTGCTGGCGGGGGGCGCCCCCTGGGCTGCGGGGCGCGGGGGCGCGGGCCCGGGGGGTCCCCCCAACACAGATCCACAGACACAGAGAGGCCTTTCTTTTGAGGCCTACATTTCTGTCCCCAGCCTTGAAGCCTAAAGATGGCTATTTGATTACACACCGTCTTGGGTGCCCCTTTTGTTATTTTTCCCAGGGAAGGGCTCGGAGGGCAGCGCCCGGCCCCCCCCCGGCTGCGAGGATCGTTCCCTAGCCCATGCTCCGTGCCGATTATCGATGTTAAACATGCCCGCTAATTTTGAGTTGCACTAAAACTGCACTCAGACTCTTTCCTCTGTCTCTCCCTCTGCAAGAGAGGCGCACAGAGCTGCCACCACAGCCGAAAGAAGCCTGCTCTCGCCGCCCAGCAGCTCCCCGCTTCCCCCCTCGCCTTCCCGCGGGAGGGGGGCATGGCCGAGGGGGTCCGGCGGAGGCGGAGGAGGCAGGAGTGGGGTGCGCGCCGTACCCCCGCGTCCCCCTCCATCGCTCCGCCGACAAGGCCGAGCCACCAACCTGCCTATCTGCTCGCTTCCTCCTTCCACCCCCCACCTTCTCTAACCGGCTTTAAATAGGACGGTTCCCGGCCACCTCGGCTCCCCCCGCCACCCCCAGGGGTCAGAGGAGACTTTTGGGAAGAGGTTAGTGGGAGGGAAACCCAAATTAAAACTTCCACTCACCTTCCCAAATCCGCCTAAAGTGGTGACTCTGGTATAGAGAGCGTGAAGATCCAGCTCCTTCCCACCCACCACGGGGATCTTCTTAAAAGGAGACCTGCCAAAGGAGATACACACAAAACACCACAACTTGTCAGCTCTGCCCCCTTTTCTCCCCTCACTGGGGCTGCCGTGTCCTTCAGGGAAGGGGCTGGAAGTTGGATCTGGTCGATTTAAAAGCCTCCCCCCCTCCCGTTCCATCTCCCCATTTTCCTCACCCTCTGCTGTGGTGAAACTGCCGCAGCTCGTCCAGGAAAGCGAGTCCCTTTCTCCGCTGGTCTGCGTGGTTTTTACCCGTCGAATTTGCCATTTTTGTAATAAAAAAGGTTCTCGTAAAAAAAAATCCAAATAAAAAAAAAAAAAAACGGCCGACAACAACAACAACAATCCCCGGCTCCTCCTTGTCTTTAAGAGACCCAGGTGCCCGTGCTCGGCCGGGGATCAGCCATGGAGAGGGGCTTGTTTAAAAAAAAGTTTAAAAGGAATAAGGGAGCCCCGAGAGTGTGGTAATTGCGAGTCCTGTCTCCACACAACACACGGGCGAAGAGGCAGGGAGGGAGAGGGGCACCTCTCAGTAATTCCTCCTCCCGCGGCTGCTGCCTCTCTCAGCACCACAAACCCAGCCGATCCAGCCTGCACATGAGACTCAACATGGTGCTGCTGGATCACACAATGAATTGGGTTACTGTTGTGGTGGGGCGGGGGGGGAGCCGGAGTGAGGTATTGACAGTGTGTGTGTGTTACAGCCGCGGCTCCATGCGATCTCCCTCCCTCGCTCGCTCGCTCCCTCGCTCGCTCCCTTACACACACACACTGTACAGCTACGGCGGCGGCGGCGGTGGCGGCGGCAGCGGGATTCACTTCTCTTCTCGCTCAGACAAAAAGATCTGAGGCCGCCGTGCTTCTGCCTGGACGAGAGCGCGACACAGCGGGCCCCGGAGGCCGGTTCCGGTACTGCAGGAGGCAGCTCCAAAGGCAAAAGCCAGCACAGCCCCAGCAAGCAGTTCCTGGCGGGGAACAATAGGCTCCTCTCGCCGCTAAGGGCTCATCTGCAATGTGCCGCAAACTTCACACAAAGCCGGGCGGAAAGAGGCGAGGGAGAGGGAGAAGAGGGAGGAAAAAAACGGCTACTACCGGCTGTTCCGGGGCGCGGGGCCGGTGCGGGGCCCTCCCGTGCCAGGCTCGCGCCGACCGGCCTCTCTCCGCTGGCTGCCGGCGGGGGGGGTGGGGGGGGCGGGGGGGCGGGAAAGGTGGATTTGGAAAGCGGGGACGAATTTTTTAATTGGACTAAACCCAACGCCCTGAGTTCAAGGGGAGAGAAAACAACAACCGAAGGGGGCACTGGTGGGATGTGGACTTTCGGAAAACTTTCCGAGTCCCCCGGGCCGGGGTGTTTCCAAGGGCAGGAAGTCGCCCCGGATGGCACGGCGGGGGCGGGAGGGGGGCAGCAGGAACCCCTCATTTTGTGGCATGAGGGCTTTAAAACTCCCCAAAGACGAATGCTGAGTGCTCCCCCGAGTAGGAGGTGCCCTGGAGAGGTTTGTCAGCAGGAGCCTAGGCTCAGGGTCACTACGTGAATATTTCTTACTCCTTTCTCTTGAGATACTACAGCCTGTAATCTTAGTGCCTCAGGACTGCTATATACAATCTAAGCCGCTCATCTCTTTCTGTACATTGACAAATGGAGGAGCACAAAATTATTGGAGGAGGAAAGTCTTGGCCCTCGCCCTGGATGGGCAGCAGCCCCCACGGGTACCGCAAGCTGCTACCCCTCTGCCTGTGGTGCGCGCAGTGTTTGTAAACACTCACCTCCTGACGAGTTTTCCACTCGGGAAACCAGAAGACCTGCACGCCGACCACAGAGGAGGTTGGTGACACTTGGGGTAAACAAGAGGAAGAAAGGGCCCATGGGGGGAAGTGTGCCTTCCATCAAACCCTTGCTCCTCAGGTAAAGCAAGGGGTGCCCAGGTGGGCATTTGTCCTTCCCTGGCATGCAAACAGCCACACGTGAGTGCTTGCTCCCGTTTAAGAGACTTTGAAGGAATATTTGCCCCTCACAACCTGCACATTGATTCCAAAGCTAGATCGGGCCTACAGGGTTAGGGTTTTTTTAAAGAGAACTCAAAAAAGTCAGTAAGGGGCTGTGTTTTAGAATCAACGACACATGATGGCCTCCAGTGAGCACTTAAAGTAGGAAATCTGCAGTTCCTTTTTACTCTATGTACTAACTTCAGAAAACAGTTGGTTTGTTTTTTTTTTCAAATAATATGTTTTTTCCTTCTGACTTGTGTGTTGTTTCAGCTTGAATATAGAGACAGATACAATAAAGCTTGGTAAGATTTGCCCTGGGTTCATGATTTGGGGGGAAGGAATACCTGAATTTCAAAATAATATTCTGTACTGAAAGTTGGTGGTGTGTGGATTTCAGAATATGAAATGCATAGTGTCTTATTCACGGTAGCATTAAGAGCCTTCCCCCCTCCCCCCTAAAATTAGACCTTCAGATCTTGATCTGCAGCTCCTGTCTCTGACACTCTGAGCTTCTGCTATTTCAGCTACAGTATGCGTAGACTGCCAAAGCCAGGATATTACAAATCAGAGAGGTTTAAAACAAGCGACTTGGGGGGCTAAATCCCTCTTTTAGACACACAGTCGACACTCCCTTCACGGGAGGGCGGTGGTTTTTAATCATGCCTTAAAAATTCCTTAAAAGCAGGGGGTCTCCCCTCCGCGAGGGGCGGTCGGCAGAGGTGAGTCACCGCTCGCCCGGGCGCTCCGTGAGGGGAGCGGGAGGCAGAGGGGAGGACAGGCAAGTTGCGTAGCAGGGCTAGGTGGGTTTCCATGTAAGCACAGCAATTGCGCACGGTCCCTTACGTAACTGTCAGCCGGGGATTCCCTAGATGGGGTCACTTTATTCAACCATTACACAGACCCCAGCCGCCGCTCCGGCGCGCCCGGGCTGCCGCGGCCGCCGCGAACAGGGCTGCGGCTGCTGCAAGGGAGCGCGGCGGCTCCTCACAAAATGGCGGCGCCCATGGAAGCGGCAGCCCCATTTTGTGCCCGGCAGAGCCTGTCAACAAACACCGACTTGGCCGAGGCTGAGGAACAGAAGGCGGCGGCTCGTTCGCGTTACGGAGCGCGGAGGGAGGAGAGCGGAGGATTTCACCGCCCTCCTGCCGCCGAGAGGAGAGTGTCGAGCGCGCGCGTTGGGGGAGGGAGGAGAGGGAGGTGAAGGCGAGCAGGGAGCGAGTCAGAGGCTGCGTTATCCCAGCGCGGAACTGCCGGAGCTGCGGCGGGGGGAGGGGAAGGCGAAGGCCGAGGCAGGCGGCCTTGGCGCAGCCCTGGCCTGGGCGTAGCTCCCCGAGACCCGGGGGCTGCGGAGACCGGGGAGCTGCGGGAGCGGCTGGAGACGCCGGGCCCGAGCGCGGCGCTGCCCGCACGGGGGGCGCTGCCCGCACGGGGGGCGCTGCCCGCACGGGGGGCGCTGCCCGCACGGGGGGCGCTGCCCGCACGGGGGGCGCTGCGTGCCGCTCCCGCGCTGCCTGGGCGGACGGGACCGTTCCTGTCGGATTCCGGCGAACCTGTAATGAGTGACAGGACGATCGAGCTCCTTGTGTAGCTAACTAGGTCACTGTCAGCACTTAATTACTGTTTGTTTCATTTTAGTGCGTGCCTTATGAATAAACCGGCTATTAGGCTGATGCTTCAAGTAACATTATCCAGCACCAAGGTACAAAATGTCTGTATTGGACTCTGATCTTGCGATGCTAGCTTGGTAATAATTACTATTTTACATTAACGATGTCTTGGTTGTTATAGCTTGGTTATTCGGCTTAAAGCTGAAACAGGTGGAGATCCCTTACGATAAGGTTGTGAAGCTGATTCTAGTATGACACCACCGAGTTTGTTTGTTTCATGTTTCCAAACGGGGCTCCTCCGTTTTTAGAGAAAGAAGGGGCTTGTGCATTGAGGCATTTTTTTTCTGATCTACTTGTCTTAATATGCATGCTTTTTAATGGTATTAAATAAAGGAAATTACCTATTTCTGGTGTAAAATATAATTTTAAATGTACCAAAATTACCTTGATATTTTGAAATATCTTTTTGAATTTTGAAATATCTTGCTGCATACTAAAGAGTCAAAGATCAAAAATGGGGAAAAGGAAAAAATCGTACTATTTAGGAAAAGGTCCTTTTATTGATCTCTATAGTATTTGTCAATGCAATTTGAGTTTATTTGTAAAATAAAACCTGTACAGTTTGTAAATGTTATTGTATACAGTGACTTTCAGTTTATAAATGTTACAGAATTCTTGCAGACAGGATAGGTTCAGTACCTGAATCGTCACTATTCAGTGCTGCTTGCATGGGTTTTTGGCCTCTCTGTTGGTTGGAGTTTTTTAAGTATAGCTGTGTTAAGTGAATGTTCTGTTCTAACAGCTGTATCCTGTGTTGCAGTTTCTCTTTTTTTTTTTTTTTTTTTTTTTTTTTTTTTTTTTTTCTGTGTTTTTTTTTTTTTTTTTTTTTTTTTTTTTCCCTTTTAATCTTTAATAATAAATTTTGGGCTTATTACCTATCTGAAGTATTGCTGCTTTGGAGAGAGCCACGGTTGCTCTTGTCAGTGTGCCACTAACTGCATTTGCTTTCTGGTGGGTGAAATATTCTCACTCATTTCCATTTTTGCTTGTGCTGCTCTTGAATTGTGGCAACATTATGTTCTGGTGAGTGTAACTAGTATCGCTAGCTATATGCTACTTGTATTAAACAGTAAACTGTAAATCCTTAGAAACTGAAGTTAATTTTGTTTGTGTGCATATGCTATATACATGGTTTTTGAAAATGCAGCCTATTAGATGGACTAGAGAATCCAGTAAAATCCTCTTAAGACTAGTATATAATAGAGGTGCAATTTGAAAATAAGCACAAGAATTACAGTATGAACTTCTGGTAGAGGAGAGCATCAGAAATGCAAAGTTGGCAAATTTTAGCAACATGTAGCTCAACCATATTTAATAAAAAAATGTTAAAGTGTTGGAATAACTGCGTATGCTGTGCCAAAGACTTCACTGCTTAACTTGCTGTGGCAAATGTACACTTCAACAAGGGGCGTTTATTCAGTAAGCCCTACCCCTTCTTACTGATTAATACTTCAAAATTCTTTATTACATTGTAGTGTGCTAGTTTCTTGTAAAGATTCTGCTACTTAGTATAGACCGTTAAGTGCTAGTCTTCAACGGTATTAAATCATAACTAAAGGGTCTTATGCATGAAATTAAATGCTAAACAGCATAGCAAAGATGGGAAAGTGGAGGTCCAGCATTACAGGCTACTGCTGCACACTTATTCACAATTTTCAGTACAGTTATTGGAACTTAACTACCTCAGGAAGGTTGGGTTAGATAATCTTAAAAAAAAATTAAAAACACTTTTACATTGAAAAGACCCACCTTCTTAAGCTGTTTATTTAAATAATTTATGACTCTGACCCTCCTAAATCTTCCAACAGGATGTGCACCTTCCTCATTTCAACTTTATGGTATTACTACTCAGGAAGTAAAACAGAGGGAAAATTTGGCTACATAAATACTATTGAAAATACCCAAGTAAATTGATTAAACACTTTAAAAAATGTTATCTGTAAGTACTGTAATTTTTTAATACTTGCCGTTCTTCACGAAGGTCCACCTCTTGGAATTAGTGAGTTTTATGGTCATCTAAACTCTTTAAGTTACAGGCACTTCATAGTTGATGGTTTTTCAGTTGTGCAATGAAGTATGAAACACAAAGCAGGAAAACCGTAAATGCAACTGAAGGAGAAGTAAAAATATTTATGCATTCCCACTTGATTTCAAAACTGCTATACTTTTGATATCCTAATTCTTTTGTGGGTCCTGACTTAGGTGTTCTTAACACTCTGGGTTGGCAATACTTCAGCAGTAAGTTTAGAAAGATTGTCAAATTAATATAATTTTCTTGCAGGCAAAAAAAAAACCATGCTGCTTTAGGTTATCATAACTGTAATGCACATTAGGGCCTCAATGGCAAAAAATGTTTTGGTGTTCTAGCAAACATTGGTCTGTAGCACAGAAGTCATTAATGTCCTGACAGCAAATGGGTGCAGGTTTTTTCTTTAAAAAAAAAAATATTTGGTCTTAGTAAACTACCTTTACTTTTAATCTCACCCGTTACTTTATGATGACCTCTGTGTCAGTGTGATCTGGTGGATGGCACACTTCCCCTGCCACTATAGCTGTACACTGTTCCCTGAAATAGCACTAGTGTGATTCATGTTTCTGGTTGAATGTGTGAAAGTTTGATTGAGATGCAAAACTGAGAGAGTTCTTCTGAATGTTAAAAAGGAACCATGCTCAGAAATACAGAAATGATCAGATTAAATCTGGCAAAGGGTTTTTGTAGATTAAGAATTATGGTGTCTTACTTGGATGGGGAAGGTCCAATTAATTTAAAGCAAAACCAAACCTAATCACTTCATGAAGTTTCTTATAAGTAAAAATGGTGAAATCCTCTAGTAGGAGAGTTCTCAGTGTTGCAGATTTGCCAGCAATACTTCATTGTCACGTAGCACTGTCTCATCTTTATATTTTTACCAATTCAAATGACAGTCAACAGTAGCTAAAATTATGTTGAAATTTCTCTGAGTAAGCAGTTGCCTTACCTAACTTTTATATGGGCATAAATGAAAAGGGAAGTAATTAGTGCAACTGTGAATGTGTGGACAGACAATACACGTGACGATTTATACATTTCAATATAATGTACTAGAAGAGCACTTCTGAAAAATAATAAATAAAATAAATAATGGCCAAATAACATATAAACTAATTAATCTGTTAAAATTGCCCAAGCAAATCAAGAACTTAAAGCAGTGAGAACACATGAATACCCACAGATGTACTTTAAAAAGAAGAAATTTGTAGTTGTTGAATTATGATTCTCAATGTCTCTGTGGGTGATATGCTTAATATGGATTTGGCTTTACAGACTGCTGATAGATGGGTGCATTGCATATCTGTTGTGTTGCCCAGATAAAAGGAAGTGGTTTTGTTTTCAGAGTAACTGGAAAACAAATCCCCTCAAACTGAGTGCATTGGTCAAATGCTGATGTGATAACTAATTTGAAAATCACACTTAAAACATAGGACTTAATTTTTAAACTACAGTTGTGTCTAATATAACTGAAAAAAAAAAGCAAATGAGAAATAGTTTTTTAAGTTGTTTACTATAAAGAGTTATCAAATGTAGTTGAGTATCAGTTCCTGTTGCTTGCAGAAACAGGATAGCATTTAAAGCTCTTAGGGGAATCTGTGACTGTTAATCTCCAGATATTATAAAAATGTTTATTAGGCAGAGCTGTTACTACTTCTGAATTTTGAACCTTAATGTGAGAGCTGTCTCACCCGGAATCTTCCTGCAAACTCTCTTTGTACGCAAGATGTTTGCTTAGGAAAATGTAGAAATGGCATATATATATATATATATATCTTCTATCAGTTCTTGATTTTGGGGCTTCTGAGGCTTAAGAGATCTTTATGTTTAAGAGCATTTGATGCACAGAGTAGGACCAGTGTCTGGTTCTGAGCTGAGATGCACTTAATAGTGTTCAAAGAAGAGTGAGCATAGTTCCCTAACCCTTTACCAAGAGGCAAAAGTGCAGTCTGGGTATTTGGGGTGTAGCCGTGTTCAAACGTGTTGCGCAAGCCAGTCTGCTTAGCCTTGTCCTTATCTAGATTGTGTGCGGAGTGGGGAAACGGCACTCTGGGGAAAGGTCTCTTCCCTCCATGAAGCTCCCTTGCATGGAATAGAAAACAGTCAAGAAACTGGAAAAAATCTAGCACTCCTGCTGAAGAACAAAAAAGGGAGATTAAAGAAAGTGGGGATTTGAGAAAGGGAGTAAAATCTGATAATTTTGAGTGGGACAACTCCCTCTCTGTGTGCTTTCAAGCAGTGTCACAGGTGACTTTTGATATGGGTCTCCTTAGGATGCATTAATCCTAAAATTTATTTCTATCTTTTGCTGATTTGGGAATATTAAGTACTATACACGCTTTATTACAAATCGATAAATTAGACTTCTTTATTGTTTTAAGTATTTTATTCCAGTTTGTTGAACACAAACTTCCTGGTGGATTGAATCACATGCTACACCACAGACTGCCTGTAGTAAGTTCCCTAGCATAAACAGGAGTGGCCTGAACTTACATTGTGATCTCTCAGAATGAAACTTCTTCCTGTCTTGTTTCATACTTCACAAAGTTTCTCTAGTGATACTTTACAAAGTCAAAATAGATTTTTTTTTTTCTTTAATGCTACAAGTTTGGCTAGATTTATAAGACAATAAAAGTGAAATAAGTCTGTCTGTGAATGAAACCCTGAGAATATTGTGTTTCATCTGTTACCTCTATTTTAATAAGTCCGGGCTCATTCTTCGCTTTGCTTTAGGAAAATTAAATAATGTCACAGTTTTTCCTTTGAGAGGTTACCAAGCTATTACAGAGCCTCCATGGTGTTCCATTGGAATTAATTGTGCTTAGAAGTTATGAAAATAGAGTTGTGTATCCTTAAGTCAAGTGTTTGTGTTTTGTTTGCAGTAATATACAGAAATTATGTATATAATATCCAGTATGTATTTGATAGTGTGAATTTCCCCAAGTAATTTAATTTTTGTTCTAAGGAATCATCTCCTTTTGCCAAAATATGCAAATTAAGTTT